GCGACACCTGCTTTTTTAGAAATCCTCGACCCCCTTTACTAAAAAAATTCAGAACTCAGTCAAAATAAGTTCAAACGGGCTAAAAATGTTTTCATAACCCCACTTTTGATCGCAGAATCCAAAAATATATACCTTAATTTCGACCATTCCACTAGAATTCTCGATGGGCTCGTAAAGCCTCTCTTAAAAACTTTTATTTGTAACTAAATTTAAAAGCTGTTCTGAGCTCCAAAATACACAAACTTAGATAGTTCAGAATGCTATGCTCAAAAGGAGAAATGTGTTTCCATTCGTAGAGAGCGTAGAGTTAATAAGTTATNAGACCGCCAGTGGGGGTGATTTTTCCAACTTTTTCTAGTTTTTCGAATTTTCTCAGCCTAAATCTAATTAAAAATGGAAAATAAAGTGATATTCGTAGAGAGCGTAGAGTTAATAAGTTATACTCTAGGCGACCAAAATTACGAAAATTTTATATGCTACAGTCGATAGAAATGCATATTGTGGTTATAAGATTCTTATAATTGGCAATGGAAGAATCTTCTAATCTTATAGTGCCTTATAACAAATGTTCAACACTTTCGCTCAACCTTCAGGCAACGAAAAAAGCGTTCGTGTTTTTTTTCAACTATCATAGTCGTATAAGTTTTTATGGAATGCCTATTCCCACCTTCGGAGCTATCACCAATGAGCAATTGCCACCGCCAGGTGTCAGTATGCCTATTGCCATCTTCTAGCGTATTACTTTGCCCGAAGGTAGCAACAGCCGCCAGCGACACCTTCTGAAGAGGGCAACAGTTCCTTGGTGGCGCCTCTGGAGTTCGAAATAGCGCCACTCAAATTTTATAGGAATCTTATAGCCACAGTATGCATTTCTATCCACTATGAAATGAAAATTTCCATAAGATTCTTATAATAAAAGTATTAGAATCTTTTATAAGATTGGATTTCTAAGATAATCACTTTCCTTAGACCCCTTCAGAATAAACCGTCTTTCTTTCGCTGGGAATATTGCACAATCACTTTTTCCATCTTTCACTTTTTTTGGAGTCAACGGTTTGACCGAAAAAATTGACCAATAAGACTCACATTTTTATGAAAGATAACTCATTTAAAATTAGAATAAGTTGTTCCGGTTTTCAAAAATATTATTTCCTTCTTATAATGAATAAAAACGGTTTTAGAAATAGCGTCTATGGAAAAGTAGTATTTTCCGTGTGTGCCCCTCTCCCTCCTTAGAATAAAAGGCCAAGGCTTTCGACAAATGTCCCGATGTATTGCACTTCTTTCGTCTGATTTACGCGTCGTGAATTTTCTATTATGCGTTATCGAACATTGACCCGCGGGTGCTCCTCTAAAAGGGGTTACTACAGGTGCAGAGTCCATCCATGTGCGCGTACGGAGGAAAAAGTAGAAAAGATTTGGAACCGGTGGAAATTTTTACAAACTTTTCTCCTTCCTGGAAAATGTATAAACTGACGGTTAGATTCTGCACCTCTGGGTGTGACCTTCGAATTCTCGCAGGACTTTTTACTATTATGAAAAATGAGATATTTACCGTTCATTATTAAGAATCTTTTCCCTGTTTCTCATGCCCTGTAATACTTCTAAAAGTAATTTTACTCGATAAAGCGTGCTGTGTTGAGTATAAGCAAATGGTTTTAAACGATCCCTAGTAAAACTTCTTATACCCAAAATCTTCGAATCTTTCATTCAAGATCTTGGGTTTGAAATTTCTGAATAGTCAGAGAAATACGGTGCCGAAAAACCTCATGTTTGACTATAATGTGTCAACATTACTTACTTGGTTCTGAAAATGAATTGTTGTACACGGTGGCCATCGAATATGTTGGACAAAATAAATTTTGACATACAGATTGATTATTATCACTATTACTAGTATGAAAAAAATAATCATAGAATAAACCTTCATACGTTAAATCTGTAACAACTGGTAAATATTTATTACGAATATTTTGTCGAAAAATATTTATATCTTTACTGCCACCAACGGAAAGTCCGAGTGGAGCATCATCTGAAAGTTGTAATCCTCCTGATAGCGTCGAAGAAGGCTGGATCTGATTAATGGTACCGAATCCAAACCGTAGTCCGGATGGTCTAAATGGATTTTTCAATTCAGTCGATGAACGTTTGTTACAAATTGTTATGGGCGTAGCCACTGTTGAATTATTAATCAACATTGTTTCTGTTTCATTGGATATGTTTGTTGAATTTAATTTTTTTGATAAATATAGAAATATAAGTGTCACTATCCGTAAGTTAAAATGAGGTATCATTTTTAACTACGATAATTAATACTTAACAGATTGTTATTTGTGCTAGTGCTGTTGAGTTATTAATGTAATAGATATGTTTTTCTATCACACAGAACAGAGTATATATAGGTGAATAGAAAACGATATGAGGAAAGTCGTCGGCTCTAGTCTATTCATTCATGACAGTACAGCTTTTTTCTTTTCGTCCGTCTTTTTTCTAGAAAGATCATTGTCTGTAGAAGAAATACAAAAAGAATAATAAATAATTTCGATCACTTTCAGACTGGCTAACAACTAAAATAATATTTTAACGTCGATTAAAAAATATGATATTCAAAGATGCAAAACTTTTATTTTTGTCTTTGTCTTGAATGAAAGCAAACCTTACTATACAAATAAAGCTTTTAGGGAACCCTAGTGAATGTACTTGCGGATGGGTTACTTACCCATTTCTACGGGTACTTGACATGCATTTTAGGAACAGCGCAAGTATTTTCCATAGGACAGCACTTGCCAACTACTTGATTTACTTGTCAAACTTCTCACAAGTACTTTCGGGTTATTTGGACAAGCAGATCAAGTAATTCAAGTACTTCATTTACTTGGAGAAAAAGCCAAGTACGTTCGGAGAAAACTTGCAAGTGTACTTTTATGCAAATATATTCACTAGGGAAGTCATTAAAATTTGTATCATTAAATCTATTCACTAGCGGGCGAATGTATTCGAAAGAAAATTGCGTACATCATTGTTCAATCTGCCTGAAAAAAAGAATGTGTAACTACCGTAGTCATAAAAGAAAAGAACATATACGTATTATACTTGGCACCATTTGATATGTTCGAAAACAGTATCCATAATAGAAATATTTTAGCTACTTGTCTTCATATAAGTCTGATATTCTTCTTTATTGGATTCAGGACTAAATTTGCATAACAAGAGCTCAAAACATTATTCCATTCATTTGCAGTTAAGAGACAATGTATGAGAAAATCAGACAGTGATCGACAGGTGGTTATACTGAAAACAATCGATTGAGCTGAAAGGATTCCGCCGTTTTTCGTAAACGACATCAGATTACTCCTAATCTGAAACTCTCAAGTATAATGTTTGCAGTTTTCATTCAAGTATAGGGTTCTATTTCCAGTCCATGCGTGGTTATAGGACCTATTTTGGAAAAACGGTCATAAAATTTATTGTGTTTTGGTTATAGACATAGAATAGCGCATTTTGTAGTCTGTAAAACGCTCTATACGAATAACAGTTTTATTGGTTTTAGAGAAATAGAGGTTTCTCATGAAACAAGCAGTGTTAATTGTATCCTCATAACATGAAAATGTCTACTGAAAACGTTTGCCAGATGTCTTATACTTTATTCAACGCCGTTTTGAGCATATCTTAAAATTATAATATTTGTTTTGACCGGTGTGTAACGGGAATTGACCGTTCATGAGTTTATTTCTAACACAAACTAAACATAATGTGACTGTACAAATGTGGAAATAGGTAGAAGCATTAAATCGTATCCAGAGAGCGAGCAAGAGTTCAGGAGAATGTACAATGGAATGGCTAGAGAAGCAGTGAAACGAGACAAGAGGTCATAACTATGCAAGAGAGAGATATACTGTAGAAGATAATCGATGAGAAATAACAACAGATATACACACAACGAGAAACATCGCTGAAGAAGAGAAGAGAAACGATGAGAAATCAATTGGAAGAACGGATATATTCTTCACAAGGTGGCTTTTTGACTGGCAAAAAGATACACTGACATTCCGCCGACGACATCACAGGGAATAACATTAAACGGGAGTGCAGTTATGTGCTGAATAGTCATTATGTGATAACACTTACAGATATACACTTTCGCATCATGAAAGTATGTTTTGTGTAAAAATGCTTTTCAAACTCACACTGTCAACACTCCCACCTCCCATAACACACTACCAGAAATACCCAAATGTGTACTATGAAAAATTCGTGGAAGAATCGAGGTCCTGTTAGCAGTAATGTCGCGTCATGGACAAAAATTCAATTTTACCTTTTTCATGAATGCGGAAGACCTTCATATTTTTGAAAAGTAATTTTTTTCACCAGTTAGGATAACACCAATATACGATTATTATTGCCTAAAACAGAATCTTATTCAAAGGCGCAACTAAAAAGAAAAAACATTTTCTTGTTTTAGACTAGAAATGAACAAGGGGCATACCTACTGGTGCGCAGGGGTTGCTACCCTCCTGATACCAGAAAAGTCATTTTTTTGTTCTTTCGTTCTTCAAAAAATATTTTTTTGGTAGGACCATTCCCTCTGCTGTGAGACGCTAGCTACGCTCCTACAAATGGAATATTCAGCTTCCTACCTGTTTAAGTTTTCTAGAGGAAAACACATACTTCGTATCCGCTTCTATCTGTAAGATGAATATATAACTTGCTTTTTTCGCTTTAATAAACTTGCTTGAACGCAAATCCATTATTTACGGCAAAAGGAAATCGTTAGCCTTTACCTTGTTTCTTAGTTTTAACCAGTCTGCACCGCTTTTTTAAATTATATTTTGATACATTTTGAAATCTCATGAAATTTTATGTTCTGAGACGGTCTAGAGCGGGCGAACAAATTTTGGAAATGTATCTAGTTTTTTCTATTAATAGATGTAAGCTTGATTTAGCTATATTACGTTCAATTCAACTTCTACGAAAGGGAAAAAAGCACGCATCGCTTTATTAGAGATTCCTTTTCGTTGCTGAGAAAATCCCGTTTTTTTCTAAATCAGAGGCGAAAAAGTGAAAATTCTGCTTGTGGTTCTCAATTTCCTCCATCAGAACTCAACTTTTATGCATTAAAAATATCATATTCAGGATAAAAACACTGAGTCGACTAATGTAATCGTCATAGTCCTCGACAGTTTTTATATCACAATAGGAATTAAATCTATCGAGACGCCATGTTAGACCACCACACGGAACTTTATCGTGACAAATCGCTTGATATAAAGATTTCGCTTCCCATCCCGATAACTTCATCGCACATAGTATATCGCGATAAATTCTTTTATAGTGGTTTAACGTGGCGTCTCGATAAAGTTAAGACCTATCGAGATGTAAGACATAAAATATCTTCTCTAATCGCGATATTTTATCGAAAAAAAACCTCATGGGTACATCGTGCAGTCTCTTGTTAGAAACACCTCATAATTCAAACAATGAATTTAATTATTAAGGGTGAATTGGAAAATATAATGATAGAAAATAAACTTTATTTAAAACATATGTGTTTAGTTAGAACAGTTTTTTTTTACGAATCATACTTCGATGATTGTGTGTGTTTGTAACTGTATTTTCGTCAGATTTATACTTATTGTCTCTATTCGTTTGGTCAGATGAACTTTGCACATTTAATGCAATTGAATAGAGTTCGTATCCTTTTCTTTCTTTCTCTTTCTTTTCTCTTGTTTGGTAGTATAATGGTGTACATAGATCGGTGTGTGATTTTTAAATGCTCATTAAAAATCAATCTCTCTTTTATTTCGAAAGAAAATGATAAATATGTCTTTTTTCTAAAAATGCTTCGATACTGTTGCGTGTATACTCGTTTTTCAATGTCCGTTTACCTTTTTGTAATTTTCAACAAACAGATGATTATAAAACTACGTCGTTTGTTGACTTGCAATTAAACAGTTAAGGCTCCCGCTAATTCGAAGTTACAGTAGCATTCTGCTTGGGCTTTTTTTATACACCATTCGATAGAGCACGTCGAGCTAATCAAGAATATGTTAGTTGTAGAATTTCCACTCCAAGTTTTTCAATAAGAAACATTCAAAAACTTTGGGAACCCAAAATTCCGAAAAACAATTCAGCTACGAAAAGTTCAAATATTTTTTTTCTGATTTCCGTTTGAAAGCTCATAATATAGTTTTTCTGATTCAGCGTCACAAACTGTCTCTAGAAATGCTACTTTGAGGCTTATCAACTATAACGTGACTAAAAGAAAAATTCTGAGCCGGAAAAATTAAAATGGCGCACACATTTTTTGCAAAAACATTCAGTTTTTTTGGCAACATCTAGAATCTTGATTTACACGCTATTACGATTGCCATTTAAAGTGGAATAAAAGTACGTATCGCTTTTTCGAAGTTCCTTTTCGTTGCTGACAACATAGAGGCACATGGGGCACTTAGAACGCGGTCAAAAAGTTTTGTGGTATTTTTCTTGTAACTTTGAAAGCTTAGAAGTTTTCAAATGAAATTTGAAAATTACAATTTTCGAAATGTATGAGGGCTTTCTGCCTCTTGATGTTATTAAGTGTTAACTTAATGGTCGTCCTCACCCTTTCTCTAAAGAGCTAAGACAATTCAAAACCAAAACACTGAGAAAACATATTTTAGAATACAAAAAACGTATAACTGTTGATAAAAAGACTTTTAAGAGTTGTGACGACTGCCATTTTAAAGAAGACACTTGGCTCTATGTAAAACCATATCAAGCGAGACTAAACGATTTGTCTATATAGAGCAAGAAAGGAGTGTAGAGGCCCTTAAGGAGAAAAAGGAAGAAACGTCAGGGTAGGCGGTGAATTCTTTTCCTCGCTATCTCTGCTCAGAATTGGACAAAGACGTCTATTAAGGAGCATCCTTTCAGTCAGGGTCCTGCGAATCGGAGATGAGCGTTACTAGTTTTAAGAGTCAAGTCGAAAAATTACTCATTTGCAAAAGAGGATTTCTACTGGCAAAAAGCAGTTACAGAGATATTCGATGATGTTGTTACGCTAAGTTTCAAAAATGCTCATGTCCACTAGTGACATCATCGAATATCTCTGTAACTGCTTTTTGCCAGTAGAAATCCTCTTTTGCAACTGAGTTCTTTTAATTATCCGACTTAAATTTTAAAATTTCCATTGAATCGAGCTCCAAATAATATTTCTAGGCTCAGTTTCATAGACGTAACTCGGAAAAAAAGTTTATAACGCTTGAAAATGCAACACGAAAATAGTATTCCATATTTTCTACAACCTTACGGTTTTATAAAATTCTAGACCCTTCCAAAATTTGGAAACTTTCTCCTGCAAAATCCAGTCTTGTTAAACTAAAATCTAGATATTGTTGATCAGCTCGACTAGTTCTATCGAATGGTGTATAAAAAATGTCAAAAATAAAATAGGTCTGTAAGTTAAAATTAGCGATGCCGTACCTAGGTTGTAATTTTTGTGTGAATTTTTTCTGGATTCGTCTTTCTTCTTTGAACTGTTCGGGAAGCAAAACATAAAATAATTTGCGGTTAGAAAAATATCTTTATGCCAGTTAATGAGATTTTTGGGTTGATGAGTTTTGGGGCTTTTGACACTGACCATTCATTTGAGAAATAAAATATTAAAAATCCGGCTCTGTTAGCCTCTAACCACGTGTGTTTTTGTCAGCTTAAGACCAGCCCAAGCTCCCCTCAACGTTTTATCACGGAGGAATCCTGCAGCTGCGAATAGCCCCATTTTGGTCACTGTTGTGGTGACATCTGACAAACCTTGCTTGATGGAGCCAAACAAAAATTTCGTCACCATACTTTCACAATGTCAGCATCTCCTAACAGTTTGGTCAAGATCGGACTTACAGTTTCTGACGGGGAGGAGCCTTAAATTAAGACAAGTAAAAGTGAACTTTCACTAAATCATATGTTCTTTTCTCTTCATGCAACCAAAACATCGTTTTATTATTGTTTGAGGCTATTAACATAATGCCGATCAAATATAAAATGAAAAATATACGAAGAAAAATTAACACCGCAATCACTCATCATGCAGGTATGATTTTATCAGTTTTTTGTAGCCGTCTGTGCGACAACGATTGATCCAGAAAACTAACAGGACGCAAAAGAATTTTCACACCGTTCGCATCAATGAAGCGCGCGAAAAAAATGTAGATATCTCTTACCACAACACATTTAAGCAGCTCTTTAGGGATTGACAAAATATTCTTTTGTTCTCATTCGCGCTATGTCCTAGAGACTATCTCAAAAGAACGTATGCTGTGCGACTAAGTACAAAGAATGTTTATTTCACTCTCTCATACTACAAAAAATGTATTTTACTCTCTATGTTTAGTTATTCAGTCATATTCGTTTTAACTTTACATCGTCCTAATCGTCTCTATTGTCTTGATAATGAAAATTACAATTTTCGAAATGTCGACTTTATTTTTATAAAAAGGTTTATTTTAATAGAAAAACACAAAAATTTAATTTTTATTAAATAAATATGAATCTAAAAACAACTGCTGTTACTATCTTATCGACTCAGTTTTTATCCTGATTCCGAATATGATATTTTTATTGCATAACATTTGAGTTTTGATTGAGAATTACAAGCAGAATTCTGACTTTTTCGCTAGAAATAATGTAGAGGCACGTGGGACAATTAGAACGCGGTCAAAACGTTTTGTGGTATTTTTCTTGTAACTTTGAAAGCTTAGAAGTTTTCACAAAACTTCCAATACAAAAGTTGTAGATTAGGGTAGTAGGCATCGAATGGTGCAAAAATCAATCGAAAATCTCACCAGAAAAAGGATTGGGAGCAGTTTTACTGTGAGAGGGTCCGAAACGTTCTTATTTCCCGCAAGTGGGAAATTAGAACGTCTGCTGTGTCTGCATGGGGTAAATGGAACGCATCTACCAAAACACACGAGATTCTTTCACAAACGTATTTTGACTTTGGTAATCGTGATTTCAGGTATATTGAAACACACGCTAGACATGAAATGTAGCAGACATTCACCTCTACTCACCTATGTAGATTAAAAGTCTAATGTACCATAAGATCTCAAGATCGTTTATTCGTCACATATGAGACTCTAATTTCATAAAAATTCTGTGCGTTCCTATTTCCCACAAGTGGGAAATTAGAACGTTTGCTGTGTCTGCATGGGGTAAATGGAACGCATCTACCAAAAGTTATGGGATTTTCTTCAAAATGTATTTTCTATTTTATATCTGTTTCACACTATCGATACAAGGTTCTTTAGAAAAAGATTTAGAGGATTGTTTCACTCATGCGCTAATGTGCTTTGGAAAGTCAATGCACGTACCCCGCAATATGACGGCGAGTACGAATGGCACATTTGTGTTCGAAATCGTGTAGTTTCCTAGAGCTGAAAGCAGTTTAACACTTGTTGCTCTATTCATTCAATACCGACAATTATAATATTTACACATAAGCCAAAAATGAAATGGTTCTAAACACTTCCTTATCAATTAATGTTTTAAAATACTTATTTCCACACAAAACTTGCGTTAAAAGGCCGACACTGTTTCTAATTCGATCACATAATGTGCTAAGATATATAAACTTTTGTTTTGACTCAATCATATTAATAGGAGGACAATCCGTGTAAGAATGATAATGTGCAATTATTACATTTAAATTACGCTTCAAAATAACCGGGATCGTATTTTCCACAATCATGACAAATTTTTTGACTACACATAATACAAGATTGATATCTGATAGACAACGAAGTATAATGACACCGATCACATAACCCGTTGTTTTGAGTACTCAATCTTTCATAATTAGTTGGTGAATCATACAATATCGCCGGATAAAGACTGTTACTAATAGGCGGATGGTAAACACATTTCGTAGGAGATAAATTGATCAGAGATAAACGTTGTGGAGTTCTGATAGCCGAAGAATCATCTAATGTTGAAGTTGCGCAATGAATGTCGGTACTTATTGATGTTGGTGTACTAGTTGTAGTTGAGAAATGACAGTCGATTAAACCGCTTAATTTCTTTCTCATATTGGACTTTTGCTTTGTCATACGCTTTTTCTTTTCTGATTTTTGAGATTTAGCCTTTTCCTTCTCTAATAATCGCGCCATAGCTTCGGGTGACGTGAGAAATTCACCATCATGTCGCGGAATGAGTTGTTGACGCTGTTTGCGTTTTCGTGAAGGCGATATTTCCATATGTTTGCGAATCGTATTATGAATGATTTCTTCCAGAGGTTTTTGATCATTTAAATTAACTGAAGAAAGGAATGAATAAGGAATTTCGAGACAATTTTTTAAAAGTAAAATACTGACCAGTATTTAATGATGGAGCATGACTCATGAGCCTCTTTTGTTTTCTGTTATCAAGAAATTCATCCTCATCATCTTCAGAATAATCCTTTAAACTTGATGGGTCTTCGACATTTTTGTTCATACACAGATAAATTCAATTTCTGGAACATACTGGAGGCAACGATTACGATGACCGGGTTTATTAGCCAAAGAATCGTTGAAAGTTCCAATCCCTAGCAGTATTTTCTTCAAACTCACCATCTGAATGATCTTGTATAGTTTTTTCAGTTAACAGTGCTTGTAAATCTGGACCAGGATTATCTGTTGTTGAGTAAATAATCGATGAAATATATGGTAGTGGTGTATTTATGAATGATGAGTTTTGCGCAATATAGCTTGTGGGTTCAACTGTAGTAGAATTAGACTGAACTTCTACTTCTAAAAGTATTAATAAAACAACACCAAAAAAAGGCAAATTTTCAGGTGAAAAATCATAAGACACTCATACCTTCGGTAAACCCATAAAATCTATTATTCGCTTTTATCTTGTCTAAGATAACCGCTGATGGATCAAGTGGATATAATCCTGTTTTTGTGAATGACATATTAGGTTGAGGAAAAAGTTCGTGCGCCGTGTTAAAATAATGATTTTTTAAAAAATGATGAATTTATTCAAAAACAACAACAACTATTCTTCAAAATAAAGACCATCATTGTCCACGACCTGCTGCCAACGATCTGCAAGCTTTCGGATTTGGTCAAAGTACCACTCCAAAAAAATATATAAAAAATCATTATTTTAACACGGCGCACGAACTTTTTCCTCAACCTAATAGTTGCTATCGAAGGTTTTATGGTTAATTTGTACAGTTTTTTGATCAAATTTGGAAAATCAGATTTCTGTAAACTATTTTCTTCATGATGAATATTATATTTAGTCAAAATATCTCGCCAACTACGTTTAACTGCTGCTAAAAACAGAGAATCAACGTGTTGATGCATGGTTTCAGACTTTTGAGCAAATAGTTAATCAACT